AGCACAAAGTACGGACCCCCTCTCCCAGTTCTCACTACAGCACAAAGTACAGACCCTCCCAGTTCTCACTACAGCACAAAGTAGTGACCCCCTTCCTAGCCTGACCCCGTCTCCCAACGCATCGGCGGTGTGGGGCCAGTGCAGCCTGGCCACCCTGCACCATCTGCGTGGCAGGCCAGCATTCACGTCCACTCAGAGCCTGAACTAGATCCGCATCTGCAGCAAGACCCTCCTCAAGTGCCAGGAGAGCTCTGTCCCCCACAGTCAGAGCCCCGGACCCAGGCCACCCTCCTGATGTGTGACTATCCAGCACACATCTGTACTTTCCTCCTAGGCAAACAGCATGCAAGTGCAGATAAGAGAAAAAACCCAATTTTTTTCCCAAAAGCCTGAGAAGAAAATGATGGCTACTGGTAGGATAATTGCATTTCCTAAAGATTCCCAGCTCTTTGTAAGGAGAAACTACCTATGTTCAAGGCCCTTTGCTTGGGTGTGACTATACTTCTCAGAACTAGCCTTGAGCCCACAGCCACCGAAGACATCCAGGGTGTGCGGTCAGCTCTTCAGAAGCCAAGAGAGGCTGGATTCAGGGATTTCTGTCACGTGCCCCACAAAGGTGCCATATACGTCACATTAACACAGGACACCTGGTAGGGAGCCTGGGCCAGATGGAAGTTTCTCCCATAGGAATGTTTTGGTTTGGGAGGGGACTTTAGCTCTCAGAACTGACCAGTAATTACAATTAACCCTCTGTTCCCTAAAATAATTAGGTGACTACAGAATACCCCTCTACTTTCCCCTTAAGTCTTGTTAAAGTGAAAAGTCCGTTTTATAGAAGAAGCATAAAAATAGACAGCCCCAGTCTATCTGTTACAAGTGCCATCATACACACACTACAATCATAGGCTGGGGTTAAGTGTCCCTGTCTGCCCCCAGCAGGGCCTCTCTCTATCTCTGTCCTCCCTGCAGTCTCAGACCCACCCACATGCACACCTGCCCATCCAGCCTGCTGTTACTAGATCTGGGAATCACCAGTGAGAACAGGCTAACACATCTGTGTGGCTTATGCCCTTCCTTAAGTTTCCATAAAAATGGTCTACATGATAAAAATCTTTTTAAGCATAAACTACACCACCATTCTAAGAAAAGTAGGGGCAGGAACACTTCGCAGCTACCCTGAAATTAAGCCTTCAGCCAACTTGAGATGAGAGCAGAGTTGAAAGGATCCTCAGACAGCACTGAGTTAAAATTCTTGATACGCAGATGAGAAAACAGAAGGCCAGAGAAATGACTCGGCCACAGATACAAGACTAATTAGTGGCAAAAACCCCAAATAAAACAAGTTTTCTCACTCACTGTTTATCTTTTCCTCTATACCATATATTTTACTTTATTTAAAAAATAAGCTCCAGGCTCAGCGCCCACATGTAGCACAGTGGTTACACAGTGTAGTGCCAGCTACATACACTGAGGCTGGTGGGTTCGAGCCCGGCCAAGCCAGCTAAACAACAACAACTGCAACAAAAAAATAGCCAGGCATGGCAGGCACTGGGGAAGCTGAGTAGTCCAAGATACTTGGGAGCCTAAGGCAAGAGAATCACTTAGGCCCAATAGTCAGAGGTTGCTGTGAGCTGTGATGCCACAGCCCTCTACTGAGGCTGACATAGTGAGACTCAGTCTCAAAAAAAAAAAAAGAAAACTCTAGAGAAAAAAATAATTACTATATACAAAGCTCTTGCAAAACAAGGGAAAGATAGACATACAACAGAAAAAAGGACAATCACAAACATTCTTACAAGAAATATATACAACCAAAACATAAAAATAATTAACAAAGAGATCTTAAAGTTATACAAACATAACCAATTGTGAGATATTTTTAATTGATCAAACTGGTAAAAACTGTAAAGGCACATCCCGCCTGCCGCTGTGAGGCCGTGTGCAGTGGGCCGTGGTTCAGGCATGGATCAGGACAGCACAGCATCAGTTAAGTTCAACTTTCCTAAAGGTCATGCTCAAATACACATCAAAGTCCTTTAACATGTCCCAACCTTTCCAATTCTATCATTAGAAATATGTACTAAAGAAATAATCAACTTCACAAAAACATAATAAAGATATTCATTCATTTCTTTATAGTTGAAAATTTTAAGGTAACATAAATCCCTGAAATTACATCATGGAACATTTTGCAACCATTAATATTTATATTCCATGACAAGAGAAAACACTCGTATTATGTTTTATGTGTAAAAAAAAGGTGAGCTGAAATGATGTAGTATGGTTGCATTTTGTAAAATCAA